AGGCAAGCACTACCACACCTGGATTTTTTTAAATTGTAGAGACAAGGTCTCACCAAGTTGCCCAGGCTGATCTCGAACCCCTTAGCTCAGGCAATCCTCTCACCTCGGCCTCCCTAAGTGCTGGGATTACAGGCTTGAGCCACCGCACCTGGCCACCAAGAAGTTATTTCCTAACAGCAATGCAGAGTCACCAGCACATGAGATAAAATTGTTACTATCTACAAAGTAGGTAAGATATGTTGTTTGGAAGCACCTGTTTTTGGCTTCCAGCCAGAGACTATACTTCCCAGCCTGTCAGAATAGCCACTGTGCAGGCTGTATAACTTTGTGAGAAATAAAGCTCTCCTTTCCGAATTTAAAAAAAAAAAAAAGCTATTTCTCAGTGGTAATAACTTTTTTTTTTTGAGTTGGAGTCTCACTCTGTCACCCAGGCTGGAGTGCAGTGACACGCTCATGACCAGTGTGGCCTCAACCTGCTAGGTTCAGGCAATCCTTCCACTTCAGTCTTCCAAGTAGCTGTAACCACAGGCATATGCCACCACACCTGGCTAATTTTTTTATTTATCGTAGAGACAAGGTCTCATCATGTAACCCAGGTTGGTCTTGAACCCCTAGGCTCAGGCACTCACTCCCCTTGCTCCCGCCTCCCAAAGTGCTGGGATTACAGGCATGAGCCACTCACTACACCTGGCTAGTTGTAACACAGAAAATAATAAGGAAAAAGTCTTCCCAATTTACTATTATTTTATGTATTTATTTTCTGAATCAGAGTCTCCGTCACCTAGGCTGGAGTACAGTGGCAGGATCAGCAGCCTTGATGTTCTGGGCTCAGGCAATCTTACCGCCTCAGCCTTCTGAGTAGCTGGGTCTACAGGTGCACACCACCACATCCAGTTAATTTTTGTATTCTTTGGCTCACTATGTTGCCTAGGCTGATCCTGAACTCCTGGGCTTAAATAATCATCCAGCCTTAGACCCCCAAAGTGCTAGGATTACAGGCATAAGCCACCATACCTAGCTACCATCATTTTAAATTAAAGAAAAACAGACCCAACTTGAGAAAGCAGATAGAAAAAAAAGAGAGAGAAAGAAACAAAAAGATAAACCTGAAGGGGGAGAGAAAAAGAAACTATGTTTGAAAAAAAATGCTGCAAGTTGGCAGGGCAAATTTAAATAGCTGTAGTATACTTGCTGAACCAGGTAGGTTAGAGAAAAGAAATGTGGTCCCTGCCCCCAGGGAACTTAGGAGTCTCCTTGCCTTGCCGAATCATCCCCACCCCTTCCAAACCCATAAATGTAAACAACAAGAAAGAAGGAATTTTCTTAAACCAAAAGAGTCAGTAGCCTAAGATAAGTGCACTGGATGTTCTGGGACAGAAAAATAAAGACCGGAAAGCTTTTTGAGTTTAATGTAAAGTTATTCCACATGTCAAGATCCATGCCACAAGCATCAGAAGCCAAGGAAAGGAATAATCCACAAATAGGAGTTAAGAGGCCCTGCTCAGGTCCTAACAAGTTCTGTAACCTTGAGGAAGTCACTTCACTCCTCTGATCCAAAGATGGCTCTTCTGCAAAACAGGCATAGTAATACCTTCCTGGCAAAGTTGTCTGTGATGATTAAACAAGTAATCTGGTATCACTTTGTAAGGCTTTATATGACAAAGTAACTTAAGGTAAGAGGAAGCAAAAATCATTCCTCTGAATGGAGCATAAAATCCTGTGATTCAATTTCCAAAGTCTAACCCTGACTCACCTTCTAGCCCTGTTAAACCCCTTAACTAACCTTTGGTCACCAAATGGGAGGAGAGTCGTGAGTGAGGCTCCAGGGGTGGGGTGGTTGACTATTCAGTCAGTTGCTCCACACCTCAGTAGCTTCTTCTATAAAATGGGGGGTGTGGAATTCACTCAGGTATCCACAAGATAGTGCAGGTCTGAGGAAGTGAGCAGTAAATTTACTAAAAGTGAGGAAAATATTTACATAATCCTCCCGCCCACCCTCAAGGATAAATAACCAAGGTCATCAAACATCATTACTCCTTGGACAGAACCAGATGGAGCCTTATGGGAGGACTGCTTAAGCCCAGGAGTTTGAGACCTCTTCTCTATAAGAAACTTTAAAAAATAAACCAGGCATGGTGGTGTGCACCCATAATCCCAGCTACTTGGGAGGCTGAGGTGGAAGGATCACTTGAGCCCAGTAAGTCAAGGCTGTGGGGAGCTGTGATCATGCCACTGTCCTCCAGCCTGGGTGACAGAGAACCCAACTCAAAACAAAGGAGATGCCTTAGAGAGCATTTAATCTCTAGTTTTACAGATGAAGAAACTAAGACCCACATGGGTGAAATGGGTTGTAGAAGTCTCAGAGCTAGTCAGTGGCAGAGCTGACTGAGGCTAGGACCCACAGCCTCAGATTCAAAAGTCCAGCAACCTCTGACAGATCGCAGCATCACCCAAGGTACCTGTGGCCTATACAACACGTCACAATTTAATCAACAGCCAAATATGGAAGAGAGACTGGGGAAGGAAGGAAGCTGAAAGCAGGAGGAGCTGGGAAAGGGAAGACTTCACTGAGGAAGTGCACTGAGTCCTAGAGACACTTCGATAAGAGGAAATTATGAGACTATTTCAGAAGACATTCTTGACTGATAAAAGTTTCCTTTAGGAAGAGAAATAAGTTACAGACTTAGAGAACCAGAATGCTCTGAATCAGGACACTGCTTGATTAAATGCAATTTAGTCTTTTGTTTTCACCTAGGTTTCTAACACTAATGCTTCTAATTCCTTGATCTACTCTGTCTCCCGGCAAGACAAAGTCCTCTGCAGAGACCACACACAGCTTAGTGGTTAAGTAGCTAGTCCCTAGACTCAAATCTTTGCTTCACCACTTAACAGTTGACCTTGAGTCGGCTCAGCCTGTAGTCCTGCGCCTTTGCGAGGCTGAGGTGAGTGGATGGCCTGAGCCCGTGGGTTCGAGACCCGCCTGGGCCACGAGACCTCATCTCTACAATAAATCAAAAAATCAGCCGGGCGTGGTAGCACACGCCTGTAATTCCGGCTACTCTGAGGCAGAAGGATCGCAGGAGCCCAGCAGGTCGAGGCTGCGGTGGCCGGGAGCGGCCACTGCACTCCGGTCTGGGCGACAGAGTGAGACTCCAACTGAAAAAAAAAAAAAAAAAAACAGCTGACCTTGAACAAATTTCTTCACCAATCTGCACCTCCGTAAAACTGAAGAGAGCCGGGCTTGGTGGCTCAGCCTGTAATCCCAGCGCTTTGGGAGGCTGAGGTGAGTGGATTGTCTGAGTCCGCGGGTTTGAGACCCGCTTGGGCAACTTGGAGAGACCTCATCTCTACAATAAAATCAAAATCATTAGCTGGGCATGGTAGCGCACGCCTGTAGTTCCAGCTACTTGGAACGCTGAGGCGGAAGGATGGCTGGAGCCCAGCAGGTCGAGGCTGCAGTGGCCAGGAACAGCCACTGCACTCCAGTCTGGGTGATAGAGTGAGACTCTAACTCAAAAAAAAAAAAAACAACAAAAAACTGAAATAACACCATCACTTATTTCAGAAGATTTTGTTGAGGATTAAGTGTGTAAATGGTCACAACTTACTAATAGGTTTTTTAATCACTTCAATCACAATGTGCCCTTTTTTCTTTTTTTTTGAGTTAGAGTCTCATTATGCCCCCCAGGTTGGAGTGCAGTGGCATGCTCACAGTCACTACAACCTGGACCTGCTGGGCTCAGGCAATCCTTACGCCTCAGCCATCCAAGTAGCTGGAACTAACAGGCATACACTACCATGCCCAGTTAATTTTTTTTTTTTTTTTTTTGAGTTGGAGTCTCACTCTTGTCGCCCAGACTGGAATGCAGTGGCAAGCTCTTGGCCACCGCTTTTTTTTTTTTTTTTTATTGTAGAGATGAGGTCTCTCCAAATTGCCCAGGCTGGTCTCGAACCTGTGAATTTAGGCAATCCTCTCACCTTGGCCTCCCAAAGTGCTGGGATTATAAGCATGAGCCACCGCCCATGTGCCCTTTTTTAACATGTAAAGAAGAAAATTACCTGAGAACATTGGATGTAATGATAAATACTGTTTTGCAGAAACTTTCTTTCTCCTATATATGTATGTGCATATGTCTTAGTCATATCGTAAAAGTTAATTTTTACAGTGGTTTGCTTTTTAAAATGTGAGAGTCACGGAATTAACTGCACAGAATAAGGTTTAGAACAATTCCTAGTACACAATAAGCACTTAGTGCTATTACCGCCATTGTTGCTGTTAGCCTACCTGCTCAAGTTGTGTGTAAGGTAAATTAGGGCTCAGGCGTGTAGGAAGGCCAGTGCCAAGGTTATACAAAATAATGCAAAGGTACTTCGGAAAATCTGATATCTAATATTAACGTAAGTTAAAAGCAAACCCTTCTGTCTGTCTCAGAGCCCGGTTTAGGCACGTTTGTTGCTCGGCCCACTAGTTGCACTGAACTGAAGAGTCCACAGACTGATTTATGGACTACTCCGCCATGCTGTGTCAATCTCTGCAGAGAAATGAACGCACGGCGCTAGAGTAGAACAACGTATGTTTACCTGGTGGGGGGACTGGGGTGGGGAAAGCAAGGGTCAAGCCCACGGGTAGATGTGGAAAGCAAGTGAGTCAGAGAGTTGCTTGCTCTCCCGAGGCCAGGAAGCTTCACATGTGCCACAGACGAGGCCAGACGGGCAGGTACCTGATCCTGTGGGCTGGGCGGACCACCTCCCTCCTGCTCCCCACCCAGACACCCCAGACAACAGCACTTAGCCAGTTCCGGGTGCCACTCACCTTAGGAAAAGCTGGGAGCCTGGCCCAAGCAGACACAAAATTAGGGGCTGACTACGGGCTGACTACACAACACGAGGCTGCCCGGGGGGGGGGGTTCCTTGAAACGGCAAGCTCACCTACACGTTTCAAATAGCATTTAAAGTCTAAAGCGCTGATGAACCCCCCAAAATCTGAAAAACATGCTCACCAGTAAGGAAATCAGGTCTGGATTCCATGTCCGACACTGTGTGACCTTGATCAGTCACGTCATCTCTACAGGTTTAAGTGTCCTCCTGGGTTGGGGAGAGAGGAGAGAGAGAGACATCACCACCTGTCTCAGAGGATCACAGTAAAAAGCACAGGATGCAGCAAAACGCCCGGCGCAGGATCTGCACTGGCAAATGCACAGCAGGCGCCTGTCCCTTCGCGACTAAAAGTGAACACTCATTGTGGTAAACAGAGTCACCGGCCAGCTGGCCTGCGAGAGAATCGTAGGCATCCTACTCTCTTCGTGGAGGTGGCTTTGCTCTTAGAGAAGCTTCACGAAACCCTGTCTCGGTCTCTCCAGCACAACCACCCGTGCCAGGAAGTCCAGGAGAGCAGTCATCTCCCGCTTCACTCCTGACAGCACAGGCTTCGACATGCTTCGGTACTGTGGGGTTCGAACTGTTTATCCCTTGGTACTGACCCCCCGTCCATTATTAAACTTGAAGAGCGAGGATATCGATATCGGTGCCAACGTCTTAGTTACTCGCGTCCCCATCTCGAATCAAAGGGAGGGAAACACGTTAACATTCGTGCCCCCGCCCCCGCCCCCTCCCGAGCTGGAGACCAGCCTGCGGGGCCTCGTCCCGGGCTGGTCATAAGACTCGCGGCGCGGGGAAGGCCCAGGGGAGGAAGGGGAGCGCACGCTAGAGCTGTCGGGCCGACCCCGATTTCTCGTTGGCGACGGACGCAGGCCACGTGTCGCCATTTTGTGTGCAGAAAACATGGCGGCCGCCCCCGCGGAGGAGCGCCACGTTAGCCGCTTTCCCCGAGGGAACCTGAAGCGCCCCGCGCGCTCGGCCTTTTCGGGTCGGGCTTCGCGCAAGGGGCAAGGGACGGGGCAGAAACCACCACTCGTGGGCCGGCGTCTCGAGCGACGTGTCCTCGGCAGGAGGACCGCGGCAAGAAAGGCCTCCAAGATGGCGGGCGCTGTCGGGGCCGCCCCCGGAGAGCGCGGGGCCCGGCGACTGCCCGGAGGGGCCCGAAGGGCGGCAGCGAGAGCGCAGGCTGCGCGCGAAAAGCCGCAGGGCTCCCCAAAGCCCCGGCCCGCGCCCCCCGAGTGCCGAGGCCTCCACAAAAGCACGCTATTGTTTCGACTGTCTGACTAGGGGGAGGTGGGGTTTCTGGGGCTTTCGCCGAAAGAAACTTGCAAACTGCAAACAAAGCATTATGTAAATGGG